GGGGGGGGGGGTAGAAGTACAAAAAGGCGCTAACATTTTTCTGAGACTATTAATCAATCTTCTTCCTACACGTTGCGGCAATCTGTAGTATTTTACGAAGAAAAAGTTAGTTACCAGCTAACGTCGACATTAACCAAACGGCTTGTCATATTTCACAGTTACAGATAATTCGCAATATATTCAGTAATACACTCGACTTAAACAGGGGAAATGTTTGAGTTCGACATTAATCAGGCGACATTAATATACCTGAATTTTTTACGAGATTAACATTAATCTTGCGTGAAACTCGAAATTCGCCAAGTCAGAAGTTGAACCGGAACATGATTTGAAAAACATTCAATAATTATGAAAACCATTGAAATTAGTAGCTTTCTTCAGGAACAAGATGTAAAACCCATAATTATCTTTCCTTGACCTGTTTTACGTTTTAGTCATTTAAGTATTGTTCATGAAAAAAAATATTTAAGCAGATTCCAAAGTAATACTGTTATTGAATTTGTGACTCAGTGCTTCCCAAATATCTTAATATTAATCCAGAGTAATTTTTTGATATGGCTTACCTAGAATCCCTCAAGTGGGTCCCTTGTATTCTTAACAACAGTATTCATCTAGACACAATGAAGATAAATCCGTTGTTTTCATAAGTATTATCAGTCCGGTAACACAAAATTGCAATTTTTAGATGTTAATGCAATACAGTGAAACCGCTGTCGTGTTACCTTTAAAGCACTTCCTTTTTCGTTCTACTTCGTATCCGCACAAAATTATTCAAACTTAGCATCTTAACGCTTAATTATATCTCATAAACGTTGTCTCAGTAACATTTTATCGCAACAAAAGGACGCTCCCATCCGGGTCGTATTAGTTATCTAAGGCAACACACAAGAGTGTTTTAAAAAAGTGCGGGTCATTTGAATTTATTTAGCCACACCCGGCTGAATACACGGGCGCTTTTATTCGTTGGACGTCAGAAAGTAATTATCCTGTGGCTTAACCGGCGAGGCTTTCCAATTGCTAGCCCGGATCTTCAGAACACTCATTTTAGTTTATAAATTATTTTAAAATATGCTTACCAAGTACCACTGCTCTCTGAAAAGTGGGTCTGGAAAAACCCCACTAGCAGCATCCCGATAATGAGGTTGACCATGGGACTCGGCACCTGGGGCTACTCGGGTGAACAGCTCGCGAAGTGGAGCAGCTGATGGGTTTGATACGTAATCTCTTTTCTTGCGCTTCTTTTCGTGCTGTTGTTGCACCCAATGCACCTGGAATCAATAACGTTCCATTATTTACTAACCGTGCTAATGGATACTAATGGCTTTTATTGATGAAACATGTATGCAACTACATTAATAGGACTTTTCGAGTTTGGGCTCATATTCCTCATATTCGTGCGCCATCAATATCTGTTGAAAGCCTCTCATTCGAAACCAGGAAAATAACTAGGAATTACGGGATCCGGAAGCATTTGACGGCAATCACAAACAAACGTACGACCATATCAGTCATGTGAGCCATTTCGGTCATGATGACATATGGCTGCGCGTTTTAAGGTCATATACGGGATTGTTTATTACGTAGTGAACCTGGCTCAAGTACATAAATTTTCCTTATAAAGGATAACGACCTATAATTTGTCTATGTGAATGGGTGCGATATTTGAATCACATCCCATAACATTGATCCCTCTAAGAATGAGCAAAAATTATGTATACATCTCTAAAAGATCCGGCGTTCCATGTGTAGTGCAATATTTCTTCTTCATAATGTAAATTTTTTCGACAATCTACTTTGACTTCGTTTCACCTAATCTTGTGTATGCCTCTCATTTGTTTAATTCCATTTGTGATGAGATAATCAAGCAAACAACAGCAACAGTTGAGCTTTTGGTGAACAATCAGGAAAATGTCGCTATTCATTTGGACATGGATACTGGAATAATTGTCAAATTTGAATAATCTTAAGAAACAGATATATCGGGTTATCGCAGTAAGTGATCAGCGCAATGTATTTGATCGACTTAATGATTGAAAGCAAATCAATTTTCCAATGCTATAAAGAAAACATAAATAGAGGTAAAAAGCAATGTCCTTACTTCTGACAGTCAAAACAGCTAATAGGCCAATGTATTGAGTGCAAAAAAAGCCAATCGAGGGTTGGAATAATACCTTTGGAGCTGTTGAAAACGCATGGTAGGAATATGCCCGAACCCAAACTCATTTGTTGATTCGCCAATCAAATCTTGAAGTATTTTAGACTCATGGTTAATAAAAAAATTAAATACGGCTTTTACATTATTTTCATAATATCTAACACTCTGAACAGAAGGAAACTATGTATTATTAAAGATGTTTCTATTCTTTAAGGGTGACTTTGAATTACCCCGTTTAATAACAAATTAACTACCGTCGACCTCCATATCTGATACACTCCACTCAGCTCCTATCCGTAGCTTCACCGCATTCAGTGTAATTATAATAGAATCTGTTCGTTGTTGAAAGAATATAATTTTGCATACTTTGACTGTATTATAGCCATTCCATTTTCAACGCATACACTGAAAACATACAATTCTTGAGTAAAATTATTGTACTAAAATAATTAGGTTTAATAATAAAAAATAAAATTTTGTTATAAAAAAACATAAAAAATTAAAGAATACGTATACAGGGTGATTCAAGATTGGCGTCATTCCACGTGATTCCATTGTCTGAGGGTGTCTTGGGAGTACAGAAAAAATAGTAAAAAAAATTAAATGTTATTCAAAACTCAGATCTTTGCAAAATACTACATCAGAAGGATGGCAACAATGTTTTTCAAGGTAATCTACCTAATTAACATTTCGTAAATACCTGTTCCTTCGTAATAATTAAAAACTCCGGTAATCACAGATAAACACGAAGATAACGGTGTCACCTTGCGGTCAGTGCTTCGACAAAACAGCCCCCCGAGTGCTGCGATCTTTTTGGGGCAAATAAGTGATATACCTAAATAGGTCACAACTGTCATCCAAAACCACCTGTTACAGGTTATGTATCATTGATCAAATAAAACACAATTCCGTTGTTAAAACACAAGGAGTATTCTCAAGAGCAAGAATTCCTGCCCGTTTCACTCCAAACATGTGTCCCAATCACTTTGCGTTTGGGCTCATATTTTGAGCAGCTTCTCGTGTTCGATTAATTAACTTCTGCTCAATTTGAACCGGTGTTCGTAACATCAGCGATTTAATGTGTTTTAGTGTCCTGTGCATATTACATACATGGTAGGAATGTAAGCCCTTCCTCGGGGGAGTTATCGGGACAATTAAGTAGCCGGTGTTTGAGAAAGTGCAGTTGTTGTGCAATGCTTCAAGTACTCGTGGAAGGCTCAGCTGCAATAATCTCCAATACCTGTTCCTCTAGGTCTGGAAACCGAGCACCTTTAGATTGTCCACTATCTGCGTCAATTTCGGTCCACTCGTCTAGTGTGTAGCTCTTTGCTGGTGTAAGTTGTTACAGCTTCTGCTATGTTACTGTAGCATTTTTCCATAACTAATCGGATATTCGCAAATTCGCTGTTGGTTTACATTTTGTGAAAGGAGCATCATAAAAAGCCACAGTTTGACAAATGCTTGTTATTATTGACAAAGGCTATCTGCCTGTAACTATCTGTTAATGACAAAAAACATCATTGCCGCTTTGACATTTCATATTCAAAGTATCTAAATTAAAATAGATCAGTAGCCCAATTTTCAAGTCCTCAATTATGACTTTTAATTCTTCTGTTTGTTATAGTTAAATAAACAGCCTCGTGATGTTCTCCAACGTAGTTTTCGATGCCAAGCACAGTAAATTTTACGAAAATTGAATGTCAAGTTTACGACTAATATATTCCAATATGTCTGGAATATTCCAGACATATTGGCATCAAAAATGATGGTTAAGTTCAAATTGTAAGCATTGACCATTGCGGTTCGTTTATAAATACGTACTGTATTTATAACTTAATTGAATTCCATATATCTATATTTGAGTGACAGAATTTTCACTTAACCATGAAGACATATTAATCATGTAGCATAAGTGTTAATCATTTTTTATTTATTGGGAGTTTTTACAAGGCTGGGCTTGAATAAATTTACCGCAAATCAAACGCTTTTGGTGCTCCCTAAAGAAACTTCTATAAACTCAGACGATCAGATCAGGGCTTTTTACTGGAAAACCGTTTGTAGTCATCTCCCACTTAAACATTTTGAACTTATTAGATTTATAATATCCACATTAAACAAAATATTTATTGAATAATTATAATGGTGATTGATCATTAGCGAGTTGAAAGGTTAAAAGTTTTTGGGTCACTTTAGATAAGAATGACTCCAATAACTTTGTAGATGAACGCCATTTGAGCATTTTACAGAATTTTAAATTCGACTATTTACACAATTTTGGGATAAAGAAATTTATTTTTGTCAATATTATTTTGTTTTTTGTCAAAATTTTTTAGAAAACGCTTTTACTGATCCATCGATAGCCAACACTTGTTTTTTTCTTTGGCCACCTCGTTCTCTAAATCTTCGAGGGCTCTATCGAGAGGATCCGGAAAATTATTTATCAGTAATCCTAGTGATATAGTTTAGCATTCAGTAGAGTGTATATTGACCTGTAAAATTTAACAGTGGAAACATGTCCGGGTATAAACCAAAAATATAGCATAAAATTCCATAAAAAAATGAACACTAGAGAGAGAGAGAGAGAGCTGCATCCAAACTTATAATTTTGCAATTATTTTTTATCCATTCTTTAAGCTTTCTTTTTTGAGAGACTCTATCAGCTTCTAAAGTTTTAAATTCTTTTGTCAGATTGTTAAATATATTAATCGCTCTTATGTAACTATTCTTATTCCTGACTTTCAAAGTGTGTTTAGGAATAATTATACTTTTGTTTCTAGTTATGCTATGAGACTTGAGGTATTAGTTCTTAGGATCGTAGTAGTGATAGCTTAGAGATTCATAGATGAAGAGTTGTTGTAAAACCATGGGTTTGCTGTCAACAACACTATTATTTTTATTTACAATTTTGACGATTCGTTTCTGTATAGTTTGCAGTAATTTCTTATAATTTTAGTAAACTCCGCCCCAAATCAAAATTCCATAACATGATGCTATGGAAAAAAGCATAATAGATCATTCTCATTATTTCAGTTGGCATTGCTTTCGAAATCTTATAAAAAATGTACATAAGGTATTTTGTTTTTTATGATGTAGTCAATCTGTTTGTCCCACCTCAGGTTACTATCAAAAATTATTCCAGATATCTGCAATATTCTACCTTAGTTAATTGTTTGTTTCTTATCATGACAATTGTTTGAACAGGCACACTATCCTTATAGTTTCCGAAAGCCATATAAACCGCCTTTTCAACGTTTAAGGACAATTTATTCGAAGCTGTCAACTCTCGATAAGTAACAATTCATAGTTTTTTAAGTGTCGTTCCAAGAATTACCAGCAGCAACAATAGTAGTATCATCTGCATAAGACAATATCGCTTCAGCCGGGATTTCCTTTAACAAAGGCCAAATCATAGTCATTATATAACAGTTGTAGATAAGAAGTATAAAACGCTTGGAAATTCAGTTACTACAAAATACCTTTATCGCTTACTACATTTGCAGACTTCCGAAATTGTTAAATAGCAAGGAAACGGAAATAATGTTTAGTCGCAAAAACTACGAATGTAGATGAAGTTGTAGAATGTAGTATCTCAAATCAAATAAATCAGTTGATTCCAGCTACTAGATCAAAGGTTCTGATAGTTTTTGTACCAAGGCATACAAGAATTCGCAATTTGTCCAAAGCGGATGAATTCGTTTATTGTGTTCCATTTGTCCAAAGCGCTGCTTCCGCAAAATATGAGTCTTATATAAGAAAATGGCATAGGAGCCAGACATTTTTTGAATAAAACTTAATTAAGATCGTCTTTTTTTGAGCCTAAAAATGTCTCTTATGCGACACCCTGTATATCGATCGATTCATTTCTCGGTGAGACACTCGGAATGACGCATAAAGTAGGTGATCCTATAAACAAAAGTCCAAATAATCTGGACCAAGAAATGGTAGCGGACATAATATGGAACGCTCACACTTGCTTCACCATTATCATAAAAGTTCACAAGATAAAGGACCGTCATGGCCAGACAATGCATGGATTGAAAAGTTCGCCGGGCTCATAAGTCGTAGAAAACCAGAATGGCTTCTGGACAGTTGCACTGTAACACTATACACGCA